AAAAAAGAAAGAAAGAAAGAAAGAAAGAAAGGAAGGAAGGAAGGAAGGAATATGGGAGGGAGGGAAGGAAGGTAGGAAGGTAGGAAGGAAGGAAGGAAGGAAGGAAGAAGAAAAAGTTGAATTTTTATGGTAGCCCAAAACTGGAAACAAAAGGGGTGTCTATGGATTGGGAATGGTTAATCAATTTGGTACATAGTGTGTTATCATTAAAGGAAAGAGGACAATATTTGAAGTCAAAGAGTTTGAATCCCATCTCAGCCTCTTGTTACCTGACTGACCCTGGGCAAGTCACTTAACCTCTATGATCCTTTCTCCTTATGTATTTAATGAAGAAGTTAGAGGGAAAATGAAGGAGGAAAGCATTTTTATAGTATCTATTATATGCCAGGCAGGACAGCTAGGTGGATAGAGAGCTGGGCCTGGAGTCAACAAGACTCATTCATCTTCCTGAGTTCAAATCTGCCCTTAGACACTTACTATCTGTGTGGCTCTAGGCAAGTCACTTAACTCTGTTTGCCTCAGTTTTCTCATCTGTAAAAAGAGCTGGAGGAGGAAGTGGCAAATCACTCCAGCAACTTTGCCAAGAAAACCCCAAATGGGGTCATGAAGGTTTAGACATGACTGAAATGACTGAACAACAGCATATACCAAACACGTTATAAATATTATCTCATTTGATTCTCACAACAACCCTGCAAGGTAGGTGCTGTTATTATCCCAATACAGCTGAAGAAACTGAGGTAAACAGAGGGTAAGTGACTGGTCCAGGGTCACATTGCTAGTAGAGTGTCTGAGGTTGGATTTGAACTCAGGTCTTCCTGGCTCTAGGCCCAGCCCTCTATCTACTACACCACCTCTAAATTAGCATTAGGCTATATGACCTCAAAGGTTCCTTCTGGAGCTAAACCTGTGATGAAATAGGAATGTTTGAGATAGGGACCAGCCTTGTGATTTCACTGGTATAGGGAATAACCAGTGAGGAAGCTGCCTGTAACAAAGCAGATCAACACTTTGTGTTCAACAGTTAGTCTTAGAGAGTTGCCTAAGGCAACCACTTAAGAGGTTAAAAGACTTGTCCAGGGTCACACAGCCAGTGTGTGTCAGAGGTGAAACCTGAACCCAGATCTTTCTGGCTTTGAGATGAGCTCCTTTCCATTATCCCATGCTGCCTCCATATATGAAGGTAATAAAAATATTATTGTACCATAAGAAATAAAGAAGATAAGAAATTTAGAGAAACATGAATTATGAATTAATTCAGACTGAAGGAAGTAGATCCACTAGAATAATATACCCAGTGGCTACAATAATGTGAAAAGACAGCTGTTAAATATAATGACCAATGCTGCCTCTACAGGGCAGAAAAGGAAATATACCTCCCTCTTCTCCAAGAAGTGTGGGAATATGGATTCCAAAATATTGCATATGCTGGGTTAGCTAGTTATGCTTAACTTTTTTCTTTGTTACACAACACAGTTCTATAGCAGATAGGGATTATATGATGAGAAAATTAAGATTGATCCTGCATCATTTTCTTATTGATCCTATTTACAAGTAATTGATTTAGGCCAGTAACTACTTACATCATGGTTCTTTGTCTCTAAACTTAATTCAGAGTTCAGCTGGCCTGTAATGGATAAAATTTTTAAAATTTAGCTCTTCTTGCCTCAAGGGAGTTTGCTAACCTTGGGGAATGTGTGAGAAAACAAAGGAGTTTGGGCCTGATAGCTTTACTCCACCAAGCTATTCTTTTTTTTTTTTTGCAAGGCAATTGGGGTTAATTGACTTGCCCAGAGGCACACAGCTAGTGAGTGTGATGTGTCCGAAGCTGGATTTGAACTCAGGTCCTCCTGACTCCAGGACCGGTGCCACCTAGCTGCCTCTCCACCAAGCTATTCTTCAAGCATGTCTGGTTTGCTGTCCAAAAGTCTGGCCTGCTGTCTCCCACCTGTGCTCAAACAATGAGCATTTCTTAGTAACATGAGAGAAGGGAGGGTCATTGCTAGCCCCCATCACCAAACTTCCAATCAATCACCTTGTTTCCCACATCTCAGCTCTGTAACCATTAATACATTCAATACTCTGTACCAAACAGGGGACTGATCTGAACCAAGAGGAAGTACACAATGGGGCAGACACATGGGGGTAGACATGGACACAGACAAGAGAGGACAGGCTGCATGCAGGGTGTGGGGGGTGGGGAGCAGGGACAGACCTGAGGCATCCCAGTGCAGACAAATGGAAGACAAACACTCCTGGACAGTGGAGGGAGGGGGTTGACAGAGAGGGGCAAAGGTCTTCTCTCTCAGAGTCAGAGGTCTTAAGCCAAGCACCCAGTCAAGTGGCAGCAATGGCAATGGTGGTCTTTCTGCATGTCGGTTCTTCTGCTTTTTAAAATTTTTTTAAGGTTTTTTTGGGGGGAGGGTGGGAGGGAGGCCATGGACCCCAAGCCAAGGAGCAGTAGCAGGAGCAGGGAGAGCACAGTACTGTACAGTAAAGTGAACATATGTGGTTTTTTTGGAATGTGTATTTTTTTCAAAATTCTTTATGTAAAGTCAAATTTGCAAAATGAAAATTTACAAAAAGTGAGAACTATCTATAAATGGAAATGTTAGCAATTGAACCAGGACTCATGACTCCAGGGCCAATATTCCTTCTTCTACACATTACATGTACTATAGCACACAATGTTTCTAAAATGAAGAATAAAATAAAGAAATGCAGGTGCCACTCAGTGACCCTGTGTTAAAGAGTGCTTATTCACTCTATTAAGAAAAATAGTAGGGACAACTAGGTGGAACAGTGGATAGAACACCAGCCCTGGAGTCAGGAGGATCTGAGTTCAAACCCAACCTCAGACATTTGACACTTACTAGCTACGTGACCCTGGACAAGTCACTTAACCCCAACTGCCTTGCAAAAAAAATAAAATAAAATAAAAAAATATATATATATACACATATGTGTGTATATGTATATGTATATGTATATGTGTGTATATACATATACATATATACATATACATACACATACACATATGTATAAAGCCTGAGTGCACAGAAACCTAGAAATTGTAGTTGGACCCTAAGCTATACACACCTATAGGTCAAGAGTTCCTAAGCTTTTTCAGTCTCCATACCCCTTAGTTTTCAGTAAACTTTGCCATACCCCCTATTAAATATGAAAGGAAATAATTTTCTGTAGTTTACTGTGTGTGTGTTACACACACAAGAAATGAAATAGAGAAAAATTATTTTCAATTAATTAAGTCATTTCAATAAGATAATATAATTATTTACCAAATATTCTCCTCACCCCTCGACAAGCTTCCTGCACTCCCTGGGCGTACACATGCCCCAGGCTTGGAACCCCTGCTATAGGCAGAAATAGAGAACCAACAAGATGAAGTTGTGACTACACCTCCCAGAATTCATTGAGAATCAGCACTTTGGCCAGCAACAGGCCTTTTCTCTGTGCCAATACCACACCATTTATCTGGGGGAAAGTCTAATTCTGGTTGCTGCACTGTGCCAGAAAGATTGTTTTCCAACCAGGTTTAAAGCCCGGCTCTGGCACTTTATTATGTGCCTATAGACAAATCACCTAAACTTTCTAAACTTCAGTTTTCTGATCTGCAAAATGGAGATAATATTTGTGCCACTTGACTCAAAGAGTTCATAGAATGATGCTTTTAGAGCTGGAAGGGACCACAGATATCATCTCATCCTAGCCCCTCATTTTACAGATGAGGAAACTAAAACCCAGGAAAGTTAGGTGACTTGCTCAAGGTCACACAGGTAATAAGTGTAAGAGATAGGGTTCAAATCCAGATCCTCTGTTTCCAGAACCATGACTTTTTCAACTGTACCAAGAGTTTGGGAGGAGACTTTAAAGCCTTATATAAATGTGTGGAAGCTTCCTGCAGACAAGGACTGTACCTTTCTTCTGCCTTTGTTTCTCCAGCTCCTAGGATAGCACTTGCCATAGTGGGTGCTTGTTGAATTGAATTCAGTTCAGTTCAGTTCAATTGAGCTGAGTTGAACTAAATTGAATTGAATTGCTGTTGAAACAAGTAAAGTCGGCATTATAAGAGTTCCAAAATATTGGCCACCACAGACCCAATTTTAGAGTGGATGTGACTTTAGTGGCTATCTTGTCCACCTTCTCTCCGAGAATGTATCCTCACTAGAACACACCCAACAAGGGTTCATCTGCCCTTTGCTCAAAGATGTCCAGTGAAGAGAAGCCCACCACTTTCCAAGACAGCCCATTCCACCATTAGTTCTAACTGTGAGGAAGTTTCTTCCAAGAGTAACCCTGAATTTGCCTCTATGAAACTTCCACATATTCTCCTCTGGGGTCATGTAGAACAAAGCTAACTTCTTTTCCACTTAAACATGTGTCAAGTACTTAGAGAGGATTCTTTGTGCTTCCCCAAGCCTTCTCTTCTTCAAGCTAAACATTCCCAGTTCCTTTGACTGCTCTTTATGTGGAGGTCATCCTGATTACTCTCCTCTGGTCACTCTCTAACTTCTCAGGGTCAGTCCTTTCTTAAATGTGTTATGCAGAACTGAACACAATATTCCCATTACTGACTCAAATGGAGCTTGCAGTCTACTATATTAAAGCTTTGTTAAGAATGCCTTCTGAAGAGGATGTTGTACTCAGTGTAAGTGTGTGGGAGAAGGTCTAAGAACCTTCGTACTAATGCAGGACCCCCTCCCCACCCACCTTCAACATCCCTGACAGTCTTCCAGCTGCAGCTTGACACAACCCAGCACCTACTACAGCTCCCTGCATACAGAAGACACAATGTTTTTCCATGTTGAATTTCTGTGTATCATCTGGAACTGTCCTACATTCTGATTATACCTGACTTTATTGTCTACTTTCACTCATATAACATGTAAAGTAGGTGACAATCAAGCAAGGCTGAGTAGAACCCACAACAGAGAAGAAACCCACAAACACCCCCTTACGTGGGACAGCAACGCCATATTGCTGGGGATTCTCAGCCACCACCTTCTGTTTTAGCTCATTCAGCCTGGCTCCCACAGAACCTGCAGAAAGTGAACATGAAGTTAACAAGAGACCCAGTCCCCTTTCTTGAATCCCAGTGGTCCTGTCCCCTAAAGAAAATCACTCACCAATTAGGACAACCAGTCGATGTCTTTCCCCAGGCTGATGCTGGTACTTGGTCACTTCTTCGTATGTCAGGAGCTCAGGAGGCTCTGGCACTTTGCCTTCATTTTGGCTGTTAGGTCTCTCTTTTCGGCTCAACCTGAAGCTCCTCCGGAGCCCAGCTGAGGAGTGAGAAGAGAATATTAAACCAATCTGGATCCAACCCTGAAGGAATTCTCCTAGCCAACACCCTCCAGCCTTCCCTCTTAGGGCATGAGATACTATCCTGCTTACTATGCTAAAGTGTGGGTATGAGTAGGGAGACCCCGAAGAGAATATTTCCCACTGAATAGAACCACCCCAATCTCTTGCCTCAAAAAAAGAATGGGAGTTTCTAAGGTCATTTAAAAACCTCACCCCTCTAAGTTAGCCCCTCTTCCTGAGCAGTCCTGGAGAAAGTCATTTAATTGTGCTGACTGATCCACCATAAATTTATGCTATCTTATCTCACTGTTGCAAGGAAATCTGTTTACTCTTCCCTAATGGTCTTGCTAACACATTCCCCACAGAAGTTGTTCCAAACCTCTTCTTTCCTCAAGCCTCCTATATCACTGCCTCTCCACTCCCTCTTAGCTGAGTATCTCCACTTATGCTTGACTTCTCACTCTCCCTCACACCCCATATCCAATCAGTTGCCAAGTATTGTTGATTCTAACCCCACAAATTCTCTCACAGCTGTCCTCTTCTCTCTGCTCCATAGCTCAACACCCCAGTTCAGGTCCTTATCATCTTTTCCTGGATGATTGCAATATCCACACATCACCCCCCTCTCCAAAACATTCTCCATACAACCATCAAGATACTGATTATATTCCCAAAGCAGAGATCTGGTCATGTCATTCCCCAACTCAGAAAACTCCAGTGTCTCCTTATTTTTCCCCCTTAGGTTAAATTACAGACTTTTCTGTTGAGCATTCAAAGCCCTTTACAATCCAGCTCCACTGACTATGCCTTGCTCCCCTTCACACACAGGAAATTCCACCTCCTGCTCTGAACCTTCTCACAGAACCCCATACTTAAAATGCACTCATCCTCGCTTCCACCTCTTAAAACCCTTAGTTGTTTTTTTTATTTTTCAAATCACAGCTCAAACACTATCTCCCACAAGATACCTTTGCTAGTGCCTCCTACCCAGATCTAATTACCTTGTGCTGACACTGTGCATATTTTGTATTTATTTAAATGTGTATATAATGTGTTTCCAAAGCATACAAACTCTTTGAGGAGAGGTGTTTTTTTTTTCTTCTTCATCTCCAGTGCCTACCATAAGTGGCTGGCACATGGTAGGCATTTAAAAATGTGTGTTGATTGGTTGCCCTTCTTACACCCACAAGGCCTGCAGGGGTCTGAGATCACAGGGACTTCAGAAGCCAGCTGGCCCAGGGACTTTTCACCTTTTTGTGTGTAATGGACCCCTGTGGCACTCTAGCAAAGCCCATGAAGTCCTTTTCAAAATTTAATGGTGAAATTTTTAATAATTAAAGGAAATGCTAAATTTTAATTAGAAGTCAGTGAAAATTAAGATGTAAATTTTTCCCACTCAAGTTCATGGACTCCCTAAAATCTATGGACCCCAGGTTAGGAACTCCTGGTTTAATGACTTCCAGAGAGGGGAAATCTACACCCTCCCAAGGCAGCCCAGTCTACCTCTGCACAGCTGTAATTGCTAGGACTTTACATTTATTTGCCTCTTTCCATCTCCCACTCAATGCTCCTAGTTCTGCCCTCTGGGCTGGCCAAGCCCACCAAGTCTAATCCCTCTTCCCAGTGACAGCCCTTCCAATTTAAGGCAGCTACCACGCACCATCTGATTTTTCTCTGCTTCATACTAACTTAACACCACCCCCATATCCCCCAATTCCCTCAAGTAAATAAATGATGGGGAACCTGCAGCCTCAAGGCCACACGTAGCCCTCTAGATCCTCAAGTGTTCCCCTTTGACTAAATCCAAACTTCACAGAACAAATCCCATTAACAGAAGGATTTGTTCTGTAAAATGCGGATTCAGTCAAAAGGCCGAACCCAAGGACCTAGAAGGCCATATGAGGCCTCCAGGTCACAGGCTGTCCACCCACTCGAGGTGATTCCTCAAAAAAAAAACCAAGAAAGGTAATGTCGGGAGAGGATGGGGTAGAAGGAACCTTTACACCTTCATCCTCTGTGGTGACAGAGAAAGCAATGAAGCCATGGCTCTACCACTCATCTGGTGTCTGAAGCCACATCCGGTGGCTCTGCTTTTGCTTCCCTTTTAGATGTGGCTGCATGAGGCACTGCCTACACCTGAGTCCTTAGCAGGAGATATGGGATCCTCACCGATGTAATGTCCATTGAAGTAACCCTCACAGTCACAGTTCTCTGTAAATGAAAAAGAAAAAGCGCATGGAAATAAGATCCAGGTACAGCAGGGGATGAGCCTCCCCTGCAGTGAGAGGGACAAACTCACATCCCAGAAGGGGCTATAGGAGCTGAAAGTTGGGCAGCAAAGAAATCACTCCAAATCTGCTCATTTGCATAGGACCTGAGGGAAATTAGACGAGGCCCTCTGGCAGAGGACCCAGAAGGAAGTCAGGTAGAAATCTCGCTGGGCGGCAGCCTGGATTGCTCTCATGTGACTGTGGTGAACTTGTTGATTGTCTGGTGTTAGCCCCCAAACAGCATTTCTATATAGGTTATCCCAAAAGCTCTAATAGCTTAATGCTGTGCTAAGGCTTTGGAGATAACCGGTCATCAGTGACCAGCCCACTCCCCTACCTGAGCTAGAGAACACTTTCTTAGTCTCCCTCAGTTGGCAGAATCAAGGATCAAGTCAGGTTCAAGGAAGAATTTTAATACAGAGGGAAAATACAACCCTTCCACCCAACACTCCTTCTTGTCCTCTCCCAATTATCCAAAGGAATATCTTAGGACACTTGGGAGGTAGGGTAGGGGAACAGGAAGGACACCAACACATTTAGATAGGCTGAGACAATCTTCAGCTTGCTAGGAAATCAGAGGAACTTCCAGAGTCAAAAGATCTAGAGCCAGAAGGTGCCTGAAAAATCACAGTCTAAATCTCTATTTTTACAAGCGAGGAAACTGAGTCCCAGAGAGATGAAGCAAGTTGCCTGGGAGTTAACAGCAGACTCACGATTTGAACCCAAATCTGACTTCAAATTCTGGTGCATATTCCAGTATACTATTCTATTTCTCATCTCTCCCAACCCTTTTATCTTATAAATGAGGGAAATGAGGCCTTGAAAGATGGAGTAACTTGTCCAAAGTCACACATGCAGCAGAACCTAGAGTTGGATGTGAATCCAGTTACGCTGTTTCTCCAGAAAAAGATGTGTAAACAGCAGAAGAGACTATGCAGGCAGCACAGAATAGTTGCTGGGGGGGGGGGGGTTAAACATCACATAATTTGTGAACAGCTGTCATACATTGGAAGGGAATGAAGAGGAGGGCAGAGGCTAGTTCTCCCCTAAGCCAAAACAAATGCAGAGCCTACCTTTATCACAAGACTGATCATCTTCCGTTTGCACAAAAGACAGATAAAGTAGAGTTAGAAGGCAGAAATGTGGGCAAGACAGCCCACAGCTGAGAGCCATCAGATCCTTGGGTGTCTAAGAAACTCTCCGTATGTCCCCTTTTCCTCTGCCCCAGCAAACCAGTGACCTGAACTGAAATGGATTATTAAACCCAGCAACCTTGGTTTAATTAGTTTCTCTCTGTTTGGCTCATTAAAAGCCCAGAGGAAACCAACTTCATTACATGCATCTTAAGCAGCCTGATTGAAGCTAATTTATTCATGGGCACCTTTTGTTTGTCTGTAATTTCCTGGGGACAGCTTTTAACCAGGGACACTTCGATATTGGTTTCAAGGTTTGCCTTAAAAACATGCAAAAACTTGGTAACCACAGAAGGGAAAAGGGTCTTATTGCCTCCTTTCTGAGGGACTTGAACTACTTCTGACCTCAGAGAACCTATTTCCATTCTGAACTCTCCACCAATTCAGATGTCAGCAGGTCAAAGACAAGAGACAGAAAAGTACATGTGTTTGCCAGAACATCTGAAGATCACACCAGCCCATCCCCAGCACCCAGGGAGCCTTAAATAGCTAGGGCGATGTTCGTTCTGGGGTGGAAGAAGATAGTAAAACACTCCCCCTTCTTATACTTTTCCCCCTCAACTAGATCAGCTAGATGTACAATGGATAGGGCATTGGCATCAGGAAGACCTGAATTCAAATCCAGTCTTACACACTTACTAGCTGTGAGACCCTAGGCAAGTCCCTTAACCTCTACCTTGGTTTCTTCAACTGTAGAATGGAGATAATAATAGCACCTACCTCCAAGTGTTGTTGTGAGGATCAAATGAAATAGTATTTGTAAAGCACTTAGCACAGACCTTGGCATACAGTAGGTACTTAATAAATGCTTTTTCCTTTCCTTCCACTGTTAACTCTAACCTGGGGACCTTTACAACTGCCATGTTTCCACTCCATTGTAAATTATTCCCTTCTTCTGTCCCTTCCAATCCTTTCCTGCCCTTCCTACCAAAACCTCATGATAAGATAGCCAGAACACCTGAGGTCATCCAATCATAGAATGTTAGAATGAGAAGGGACCTTAAAACCCATCTAGTCCAATCCTATAATTTCATAATGATGATGATGATGATAATGGTGATGATAGCATTTATATAGCACTTTAAGGCTTGTAAACCTCTTTAAAATTATTATCTCATTTTATCCTCACACCTCTAGGAGGTGGGTGCCATTATCATCCCCATTCTACAATTGAAGAAACTGAGGCAGACAAAGATGAAGTGACCTACCCAGGGTCACTCAGCTAGTGATCTGAGGCAGAACTTGAACTCAGGTCTTCCAGACTCCAGGTTTAGCCCTCTATCCCCTCTACCACAGGGAAGGGAAGCATTTAAGGTTACAAAGTTAGCTAACAAGTGAATAGCCAAGACCAGCACCCAAGATCTCCTAACCCCCAATCTACTGCTTTTCCCACTGTGTGGAAATGGATTTATTATTTACTTCCTGTTTTCTTCTCCAGTGTAGATGTTAACTCATTCTTTTGCAGGGTTTTCAGCTTTACAAAGCACTCTCCCCATAACAACCTCATGAGGGAGGTCATGCAAGTATTGTCATGCCCATTTTAGAGATGAGAAAATTGAGGCTCAGAGAGATGACATGACTTGCCCATGGTCACAAAGCCAAGCAGTGTCAGAGTTGGCATTTGTACACTCATCCATTAGAGTGTAAGTTCATTGGGAATAAGGATCATTTCCTTCTTTGTACTTGTATCCCCAGCCAATGTCATAGTCCCTGATACTTAGTAAGTGCTTTGGAAATACTTGTTGACTAATCCAGTTGATGGAACAAATTGCCTAATTCCAAGTCCAAAGCTCTTTCCATTTAGCCATGTTGGGCTTCCTCCCTCTGGACCTAGGCCCCAAGAGTGTCTCTCCCTGGGGCAGAAACATTCTCTGGTGAAATTCTCCCTGCAAACCCAACTTACACAATGGTTTCTTGATGCTCCTGGGGCTCTGCAAAGTACCCATGGCTCTCCTGTAGGTCAAACGCCTGTGGAAGGATGCAAAGGGTTATCTGGGATTGAGGGATCGGTGGAAAGAAAGGACCTAAGGAGCTGAAGACCAGGTGGCAAACACCTGATACCAGCATTTGTTGTGGAGTGAATGCTAAGTGACCTTCCTTAGACCATCAAGAGAGTTTTCAAGGGAGTTGGTTGGAATGCTGATAGAGGCAGGACAGAGAGAATTCAGATTTGGCCCCAGGCCCCTGTTCCCTCTAGATCAAGTGCTCCTTATGTGGCCTATTACTTGGGTATCCTATCGTAGCAGAGTATTCCAGGAGAGGAGGCTAAGGAACCTGCCAATTCATCAGGAAAATTTTCGCATACCCTTCAACAGGAATCAGCTATATATTTAAGTTCTTGCATTTCTAAAATAAGATTAATAACTCTTTTGCTAATTTAATTATTTTAATTAATACTACTAATAACCTTAATACTTATAGCTCTTTAAGACTTTTAAAGCATTTAACAAATATCATCTCATTTGATCATCACAGTAACCCTGTTATATAAATGCTGTTGTTGCTGTTACTATTTTGAGACTGGGTCTCCATATTTTGCCCTGGTTGGAAGTTGAAGTACAGCAACCACCCACAGGCCCCACTACTGATCTGCTTGGAAGCTTTGACATGTTCCTGTTTTAACCTGGCTCGGTTCACTCCTCCTGAGGCAGCCTGGTGGCCCTCCACTTTTTTTTTTTGCAGTGGGTGGGGAAAGGAGGAATCTTGGGAGGTACCCATATTAGTGCAGACCCCTGATCAGCTTTAGTCCTACTGCAGCTCAGAACTCTACACTCAAATTATCAAACAAGATCAGCCTCCCCATCAGCTGGAATTACAAACCTGATACCAGCCACCAGATACCAGCCACTATGCCCTGAGGTGGATGCTATTATTATCTCCATTTTACAGGTAAGGAAATCGAAGCACAGGGAGGTTAAATGACTTGCCTAGGGTCACACTGGTAAGTAAGTGTCTGAGTTAGGATGCAAACCCAGGTGTTCCTGATCTCATGACTAGCACTCTCTCTATTGCCTTGTATGCAGTAGGATTGAAATAGTAACAATATAGCTGACATTTACACAGCACTTTAAGTTATATATATTTGTATGTATATATACATGTATGTGTGTATTTATATATGTACATGTGTATGTATATATACTGTGTTTATGTGTGTATATGTGTTTCTATCTGCGCCTTATATGTATGTGTGTTTACATGTGTCTGTACATGTATCTGTATGTTTATGTATGTTTGTATATATTTATATATGCATATATGTATGTGTGTTTATATATACATGTGTGCGTATCTATATGTGTTCATAGACATATCTCTTTCCATATATAAATATATACATATACATACACACACGCACACACACATATACATCTCACTTGACTGATGTATACATCTCACTTGACTAATCAACCAGCAAGCATTTATTTAGCATTTACTATGTTCCAGCAACTGTTCTAAGAACCAGGGATACAATAACAAAAAGACAAGATGAAACATTCCCCCTCTTCAAAGAGTGTCCATGCTATTGGAGTAGATCATGCATACACATAATGGCATATACACAATGTATACAAAATGAATACCAGGTAATGGAGGAGGGGGAGGGAAGTACCAAAGATATCATTACCCCCATTTTAGAGAGGAAAAAGCTGGAGTTCAGAACATTTAAGTGACTTGCCAATGTTCTGATACTTACACAGCCAGTTCGTATCAGGGGCAGGATTAAAACTTGGGTCTTTCTGACATTAAGCCCACTATTTTTAATCACTCTTCAGTGCCACATTCATGGCCTCCCTCTCCCAGCTCTGCTAGATACCAGATGACTGACAAGATAGACCCACCTTTCTTGGAACTGCTTGGAGGGAATGAGGCCGGCTCGGAGGTTGGTGTCCCCCACACGCTTCGCTTGCCACCATATGGGGTCATCTTGGCTCACCACTTCAAGGATGTGCCTCCTCTGAAAAGGCAACCCTGCCTCCTGACAGGGGATGGCTTTGTCCTCCCTGGGGTTGTACTGGAAGAGAGCCCTCATGAATACCTGAGGAGGGAGAAGAATCTTGGAGTGAGATTCCCAGACCCATCTGCCAAGGGGAACCTCCTTCATAGCCAAGAGGAAATGAGGGGGAGGAAGGAAGAGGAAGACACAATTAGCTGGATGATCAACCTTTGAAAAAATCAATGTCTACATAATCTGTTGTCTAAACGATCCTGGTTTTACAGCCTCCTGGAAAAACTTCTATTTGGCTTTAGTGTCAAATGAGTTTGGCTTTTATTGGCCTATGTAGACCTAGTCTAGCCCTGAGCTTACAATGTGAAGTCTATGATAATAGAAGTACACTCTCCAGTAAAACAGTAATAGAAGGAGCTAGGGGGATCCTCAAGGTGATTACTGTCCTGTCTTCATTATCATTCTGGCTTTTTTTTTCTTATGTTTTGTTTTTAATGGCTAGGTTCTTGAGATCTTACATGACAATTTTTCTTGGAAGCAATATTTTCTGGTCTTGAAAAATATGCATATGATCTAGGTAAAGACCAAACTGTAATTAATGCTCACTGTAAGAGACCAAGGTTTAGCTTTGAGAATAGAAGATTAAGCAGAAACACAAATGTGTGAATTTGCTGATTGTTCTTTCTTCCTTTGTGGGTATCACTTATTGTTCAGTTAAGTCATAGATAAATTCCATTAATAGTCAGAAAATTAAAGAGCATGTTCCAACATAAACATTGGTGAAGAGAGATGACAGCAGTCCTCTTTAAGGGTTTTCAGAATACCAAAGACAGTATTTTAAAAGGCAATTACTAGTTATGAAAGCAAAAGAGTAATCACAAGCACAAATGGTCACTTTGTCAATTTCAAAGACCATTTCTAATGTACTAACAGCCAGCAAAGAAAAGAGAGTTCAGTTATTGTTCAGACATGTCTGACTCTTCATGACCCCATTTGAGGTTTTCTTGGCAAAGATGCTAGAGTGGTTCGCCATTTCCTTCTCCAGCTCATTTTCCAGATGAGGAAAATGAGGCAAATGAGATAAGTGACTTGCCCAAGGTCACAGAGCTAACAAGTGTCTGAGGCCAGATTTGAACACAAAAATAAAAGTCTTCCTGATTCCAGGCCCAGAAGTCAATCTGCTGTGCCAGTTAAATAAACAAATAAGAAATATCAACCATTGGAATATACTAATTTCTTGGTTGTTAATAACAATAATTATCATTATCATCATCATTATTATTATAGCTAACATTTATGGAGAAAGCACTTTATGGTTTGTAAAGCACTTGATATACGTTATGTAACAGCAACCCTGGAAGGTAGGTGCTATTATCACCCCCATTTTACAGATGGAAAAATTGAGACTGAGATAAGTTAAGGGGCTTGCTCAGAATCACACGGGAAGTAGGCCTCAGAGGCAGGATTTGAAATGCCTCTCAGGTCTTCTGAAATCAATATCCAACACTCCATCCCCAACACCATCTAGTGCAGCCTGATTGAAAATGGACATTAGTCATTTGAAATACAACATTTTAGCAGCTCTGTCCTGCCTCATCTCAACTTCCCTATGCTGCGGTCAGTCTCACATTCTAACCTGATGTGATCCCCTACCACTCTCTTCCCTAGGTAGAGATTCTGAGGGAGAACAAAATGAAATTGCTCACTTTGTTTCCAAACAAAGATCTCATTTACCTCAGTAGCCAAAATGGTTCTCCCTTCCAGTGGCAAAGTCAAATCATCTTGTGTGATATGCCAACCAGTAGGGATGTGGGTTAGACATGAAGAACATCCTGACTGTAACAGTGATGGAGATATTAGAACATGCCACTAAGAAAGAAGAGGGCCAGTTAGCTCAGGGTCTGTCTCACAGCATAAGTTATCTGTTAGAAAGCCATTTCACCCCCAACCCTCACCTCCCACCTCAATGAAGAGCCCATACCTTGCTGTCTTTTAATCGATCTTCTTCTTTGACAGCCGGGATGATTTTTAAAGTGATGGATCCTTGGGACTGGGCCTGAAAGGCAGAGAAGATGGAAATAGGTTGTCTTCCTAAATGGAGTTCAATTTTTTTTTCCATTCCTAAAAACTCAACTTGAAAAAGAAAAGAAGCCCGATGGATCAGGAAATGGCTAAAACAAATTATGGCATAGGAATGTGATGAAATATTCCTTGCCATCCTGTACAGCAAATAGGAAGAATTTGGAGAACTGTAGGAAGACTTACATGAACTGATGAAAAGTGAAGTAAGCTGAAATCAGCAAAAAACAATATACACAGTGACCACAACAAACAAAAAGAAAGAAAAGATCCAGCAAGGGAAGCCACGTGCTGTGGCTTGATGGCCACCCTTAGCTATGGAGAAGATATGAAGATGTGCATCTCCCTCCTGCTAGGTAGCACAGGGGATAGAGTGCTAGACTTGGAGCCAAGAAGATCTGAGTTCAAATCCAGGCTCAGGTATTTACTAACTGGGTGGCCTGGGCAAATCACTTAAGCTTTGTCAGCCTCAGTTTCCTCATCTGTAAAACAAGAGCAACAATAGCACCCACCTCCCAGGATTGTGGGAATCAAATGACATAACATAGACAAAGTGCTTTGTGAATCTTAAAGCACTCTAGATATTTGAGCTCTTTGGAAAGGTAAAAACTATGGAGTGCACCATGTTGTCAGATGTGGTCACTGGTTGGCTTGGTTTTGCTTTAATTGTTCTTTGATAGGGAAAGCTCATTGGGTGGGTAAGGGTGAGGTAATCTCAGAAATGACTGGGATGCAAGAAATAAACATCAATAAAACTAATTAACAAAGAAGGAAGGTGGAGGGGGAAAGGAGGGAAGTAGGGGGGAGAGAGAGAGAGAGAGAGAGAGAGAAGGAAGGAAAGAGAGAAAGGAAGGAAGGAAAAATGAAAAAAGGAGGAAGGAAAGAGAGGGAGGGAGGAAAGGAAGGAGGGACAAAGGAAGGAGAAGGAAAGAAAGGAAAACAAAACAAAGAAAAGAAAAGAAGCAGTTCTCCTAACTTTTCTCTGCATCTCCCTTAATAAAAAGTATCTACAAGTGAGAAAGATGCTCAGATTGCCTCCAGGAAGAATATGTTTGGATTTCAACTCTCTCTCCTGACAATGAATTCTTCAAAAAACTTCTTGTTGACACATTTTGTCCTTTACTGGATTTCAATTACTTTCTTCTCCTCTCCTACCTTCTCCATCAACTTTCCCCTCTTCCTCTATTTCTTCACTATTACCTACTAATACACAGTCTCTTGTTTTCCATTATTTAGGGGGTGTTTTCCAGGCTCCCCTCCCCAACCTCTTCTGATTGGCCTTCTACTTTCTGGTCACACCCCTCTCTTTTCTGTTTTCCTTAACTTTTCCTAGGCTGTTCTCCATCTTCAAGGCTAAAACCCCAACCCCACTGGTGAATGCCCTCCTTCTGACCAGTGGGACAAAATCATCCAGATTTTCTATCTGTAACCTGCTCTGACATCTAAAAGGAGAGAGGAGAGGAAATAAGCATGTATTAAGGATCAATGCCTACTATGTGCTAGGTATCACACTGAGCATTTTAACAAGTATCATCTAATTTGATCCTCACAACAATCTGGAGGGGTAGGTGCTATTATTATACCCATTTTACAGATGGGGAAACTGAGTCTCAGGTTGTGACTTGCCCAGAGTCACACAGCTAGTGTGGGAGCACTGGTTGTAAGTAGAGTTAGGTCACCCAGGTTCAAATCCTGTCTTTGCCATCTCATTCAATCAACAAGCATCTATTAAAGTGCCCTACTATGCTCTGGGCTCCATGCTAGGCCTTGGAGAGCAAAAGATGAAACGCTCACTACTTTTGTGACCTTGGGTAAGTCATTTCTCTGGGTCTCAGTTTCCTCATCTTGTGACCCAAAGGAATTGTGCTAGATGATCTCCTAATAGGTCCCTTTCAACTCTAAATTTAAACTGGATAAATTGGGTCACTTTACCTAAGGGAAACAGAGATAAGTTCCAGGAGATGGGAAGGGATAGAGAGGCCTTTGAAAACAGCCCATAGGGTTTAAGTTCCCTTCAAATCCCAGGCTTTCCAACCAGATCTCTCCAGAATCCTTCTAACTTTCACGCCTAGTGGAGTGTTTGAGGGACAGGATGGAAATGACATTTCACTTTAGCCTTACTCTCACCATGTTGGACAACTCAGGGTGTCCCAAAAGTCTTAGTGCAGTTTTAAGCTCTTAAAGGAAGACTTTTAGGATACTCCTCTATGTGTTGTTAATGATACCTCATATGCATTCACTTTACATTGTTTAAAGCTCTTTGAAGATTTAAACCATACAATTATCCTGTGAAGTTGACAGGGTACTCAACCCATTCTACAGATGAGAAAACAGATACAGAAAGATATGTGACTTGCCCAAGGTCATTTAATCCACAAACATTTTTAAGCCCTTACTATGTGTCAGGCACTGTGCTAAGCACTGGGCATACAGAGAAAGGCAAAACCAGTGGCTGTCCACAAGGATCTTACATTCACATGGGGGTGGAGTGGCAGAGTCAAAGTCACAAAATAATAGATCATGGGATTATAGACCTAGAGATGAAAGGGACCTCACAGGCCATTTAGGCAGACTCCCTCTTTTTACAAATGAGGAAACTGAGCCCCAGGGAAGTTAAAAGATTTGTTCAAGGTTTCACAGTTACTAGAAACAAGTGTCTTGACTCCCAGGCCAGAACTCTTGCTACTATACTATGTCGCCTTCCTCCTATGCTGCCACATTCCCCAGTCAGTCACTTAGTCAGAAAGCTGAACAATTTTTCTTACATCTCATTTTCCCCACCTGTAAAACGGGGGTAATAATACCTGTCCTTCAAATGTTGGAGGGGATGTGGGAAAAATGGGACACTAATGCATTGTTGGTGGAGTTGGGAACTGATCCCATCATTCTGGGAAGTAATTTGAAACTATGCCCAAAGGGCTATAAAACTGTACATGCCCTTTGACCCACAACTGGTTCTGTATCCAAAAGAGATCAAAGCAAAAGGAAAAATATTTGTATTTACAAAAATATTTAAGGCAGTTCTTTTTGTGGTAGAAAATTGGAAATTGAGAGGATGCCCATTAATTGGGGAATAGTTAAACAAGTTGTGGTATATGATTGTGATGAAATACTACTGTGCTATAAGAAATGATGAGCAGGATGCTCTCAGAAAAATCTGAAAAGACTTACATGGACTGATGTGAAGTGAAATGAGCAGAACCAGGAAAATATTGTGCACAGTAACAGCAATACTGTAAGATGATCAACTGTGAATGACTTAGCTATTCTCACCAATATTATGATCTAAGACAATTTCAAAGGACTCATGATGAAAAATGTTACCCATCTCCAGAGAAAGAATTGATGTCTTAATGCAGATCAAAGCATACTTCTTTAAACTTTACTTTTCTTGGGATTTGTTTTTGTCTGTGGTTTCTTTCACAACATGACTAATATGTAAGCATGTTTAGCATGACTGCACATGTATAATCTATATCAAATTGCTTACCTCAATTAGTGGAGAGAGGAGGGAGGGAATTTGGTACTCAAAATTTTTTTTTAAATGAACATTAAAAATTTTCACATGTGGTTGGAAAAAAAATAAAATATTAAAAAAAAATAATATCTGTCCTTCCTATTTAACAGGGTTGTTTTGAGGATGAAATAATCCCATACCAGCTTTGGCAGCAGTTAGAGATCACTCCCATAGAAATGGGAGAGTCTGAGCCTGGATGTGATGAGGAGGCAAGAGGATTGGATGAGAGGGGGAATGAGGGATAAGAAGTCGTGAGATCTGAGTCCAAATTCTCCTCCTGTCCCCTAGCCTCCCTTTTATACAGACTCTGTATCCTATAAATATTCCCTCTGCTAATTATCTCCAATTTATCTCATAAATATCTTGTTTGTACATAGTATTTACAATGTTGCTTTCCCCCATTAGACAGTGAGCTCCTTGAGGGAGAGGACTGTTCTTTGATTTTCTTTCTTTGCTTAGCACAATGACTGGCACATAGTAGGAACTTAATAAATGCTTGCTTACTGTTGACTGACGGTATGCTTACATTCACCCTGACTCCCTAGGGGTCCCAGAAAGTCATCGAGATGAAACACCTCCCAACAACCCCAAAGCAACACACACCAGAATTTGACTGATTTCATCCGGCCGCTTATGCAGGACCACAATCCCATTGACTTCCCTCAGCTCATCTCCAACATGCACCAAACCTGGAAAGAAGACAAAGCAGTCGATGAATCAAGGAGGAGGAATTGAGATCCCTCCCTTTCACCTAGTTACCCCAAACCTCCAGGATCCTGCCTTATCCCATAAAGCACCTATAAAAAAAGTCACCTTTGATGTTTTAAAAAGCAGCAACAGCTCACCATATTGCTTATTTAAAATA